AGATAGTGAATAATATTATGCAAATAAATAGTATTATACAACGGAGTTGCAGCCTTGAAAAAATTGTGCAAGAGCAAATTTGATCCGATTTGACGTCACAAATATTGCCACGCTCATACCTCTTAAAGGAAACAATGGAACATGATGTGATGGCTTTTTGCTATATGGATAATTCATGTGTAATAATGACTAAACCTTCCCGGTATGATCTGCGTATATTATGAGTAAAGTATAGCATATAGTGTCAGACTTGGCATTATAAATGTTTTCATGCACAACAAATGCTATGCAACCAAGGCAAGATTAAACATTTTTTCCAATACTAGCTTTGTTTTAGTTGGAATGCTTTAAAATTGAATATCAGTACTTATCAAATTCATGAATTTGATTAAATATAACGTGTAACGAAATGAATACGGTTGTGTCAAATTTAAAAAAAAATCAAATGATGAAAATATTGTCGAGCTGCTGTTTAATAGGAGTGCTGAATTTAGTCACTAGTTCGTTCAATGCAACGGCTTTTCAAATATTTCGAACAGATTTCGTTTTTCTTGAAAGAATCGCATTACTCTGGATGGCTCGAAAAATTTTGAAATTACAAATGCTTTATGTTGCTGAAAAATGAATGAAATTTACAGGTTTTGTAGATGAAGTTAATCGGTAGTTAAAATGGAACTGAAGAAAATTGAAAAAAAAAGATATTGTCCGACAGTTCAGAGTTAACTGTTGGTTATCCTCTAGTTTCAACTGTTTCTTGTACACATTCCTTGTCAATATAATGCTTGACAAAGGGAACAAATACAAGCAAAATGGAAACGACATATTTCCGTACTCTCTGGAGTACAGAAAGTATAAGAGTACAGTGGGAATACCTTGTTGTCTTCTTGAATTGAGACATAGATTTTTCTTAGTTATAAAATTGTACTCCCATCCTACTTCGTGACTCCATACTCTATGTACTCCCAGGATTCAGAGAGTACAGTGGGAGTACGTCGTTTTCTCCTTGGGTAAAATACATCTTTAGGGGCTTCCAAAAAATTCAAATTGTAAGCCTGAAATGGCATGATGTAACTTTGTAAAAAAAACAGATATATATCTTAAAATAAAGACTTCACTCTATCGACGGATGCAAAAATCAGACTTCTACATCTTCTGCTTATATTTAGCATGTATTGATATTGGTATGGATCAATATGTATCATGGATTACATCAGGTATGAATTCAGGAAGAATGAGTTTTCTGTTTGACTATTCTTTCCACAATCTATCTGATGGTTTGTGTTGATCTGCCCGCAGTTGACTTACTGAGGTTGATATATCTCTGCATAGGGCTTAGATAGCTGAACGATATCGGATTGTATTTGAATGCTTTTTGAGGATAGTTTAAGCAGTAGTTACGCTTGTTGGTTTTTTATTTGAAGAGAAAACGTCAGTCAAATTAAATTATCGAGAAATTTAAATGATTATCAACAATAAAATTTTGACTAGTCTATTGAAACTATTCAAAGCTTATGCTACCGTTTAGTTAGACTAATTTTGTTGATGAACATGAAGGTTTAAATTTGTCAATTATTTACTGTGAATATCGAAAAAAGGTGGAAAGAATTTTGCTGAAGAAATACATTCGAATGAACTCCCACGTCGCATATTTACTTGAACTAACGCCGGTATACCGCGGTAGTCGAGAAAACCGGCGGTATACCGCTGGTATACCGTCGGTTGCTTCGAGTACCGCGGTATACCGACGGTTTTCTTGAGTACCGCGGTATATCGACGGTAAAACTATCTCTTTTTCTCTCTCTATGTATATATATATGATAACGTTCTTTTTAATTTAGATGATTGTGAACATTGCAATAAACAGTAAGTGTTTATTATATGAATTATTATTACTATATTATTGTTTTATTTACGACGATCTCAGTACCAAAATGAAAAGTATGTATTCATGCCAAATATTATTATTTTATTATTTTTCTACTTTTATTTAGAGCAACTTTCAAAACTTCAAAAGAAAGTATTTATTTATTTATTTATTTATTTATTAAGAACTATTTTATTTTTTGTTTAGATTATTTTTAGAATTATTTAGTCGGGAAAATGTAGCAATAAATAGAACTGTTTATCATCAAATATGCGATTCATTGTCTTATGAATCTGAGAATGAATTTATATTATGGTATACAAAAAATTAATTTTATTAAACTTTATCATTGGAAAATTATTTTTTTGTTTTAATTTCAGTATTATATTTTGGTCGTGAGTGAAATGTAGCTGTTTCTGAGAAGAGACAATTTAGTAAGAGCTATATTTCACTTACGACCAAAATTTAATACTGGAATTAAAACAAAAAAAAATAATTTTCTAATGATAAAGTTTAATGAAATTAATTTTTGTATGCGATAATATAAATTCATTCTCAGATTCATAAGAGAGCAGATTACTAGGTTCGCACCTTGACTTTACCCGTAAAAGATGAAATTACCGCCGGTATATTGCCGGTATACCGCCGGTGTTTTTGCAACTACCGGCAGTACCACCGGTTTTTTTCCGGTTCTAATCACATGGGCTTTTTCGAACGAGTAAAGAATACCTGACAAATATTAAAATTGACGATTCTTACAACTAACTTAATATTATTCTTAGTAAATGATAGAATGGATATGATGCTATTTTCTATCTTAGTAAAAAACGTAGTTCACGAAGATTTTCCTCTCCTGAAAAAAAATTTTCTATATCAACGAAACAATAATGAGTACTTACTTGTTTGTTCTCAATTGTTGCGCGTTTTCTTTTAGTAGAGTACTCTTAACCAATCGTTCAATTGCAATCCTTTCGATGGCATCACATGAGAAGAAATTGATAGAAGATTGCTTTATAAAGTCATATAATTTGATTGCAGCAACGACAACTGGTTTTGAAATAATCATAATCGGTCGATTTTGTGAATCTTTTGGCATTTGTTCAATTTTTCTTTTCACCAGTGCTTCAGCACCCATGACAAAATCCATATCCAGCTCTTGATTTGACGCATGAAGGCCAGCAACAAAATTGATTTTGTCCACAATTTCATAGCACCACAAGATGGAATGATACAAAAGATTCATGCATGCACAATATCGGGGGAGTTTGACCCCCGTTTTTCGAAGAAAAGTACGTATATACAACTTTAAGTCTTGAGATTCATTTGCGGTTTTGAGATCTTCTTTTATTGCTCGACAGACAAGACCATAGGCACTGACATATGAGCCATCTTCTTCAAACTCAGCTGATGTTGGTGTGTATGTGGTAAGTAATGTTTGTCCATCATTTATCATTTGAGTCACGGGAAGTTTGATTGAATGAACCCGACGAATATTTTCAAGCCATTGTGAAGCAATAACTTTGAAAATATAAAGAATTAAATTAAAATTAGAAAAAGGTATTGCAATTTGAAAAGTTTCAGTCGAACTCATATATATCAGTTATCTCAGAGGTAACCTATTCAAAAAATGTATAGAATATCTCCACCATATTTTGACAGAATGAATTGATTTTTTTTCTAATGACAGAAAAGAGTTCCCAGTTTATATTCATGTACAACAAATTTAGTAACATCCCTTAAAACAATAATTATCTTCTGAGAAGAGCAAAATTTATACTTTCTGGCAAAGATAAACGACAGATTTTAGGATGCTGTAATACTACTCAAATTTTCATGTTTTTAAATTTTCGCATTTTTAAAAATAATTTATGTAGAATCGTTGAGTTTTCACTAGTCTATCTAGCTTTTCCGAAACTTCACAGACTCCTTGGGATGTTATTTTATGAGAAAATTCCATAGAAGCCCATATGACTAAAGTTAACTTTTGGCAGAGCGCTTGCATCAATAGTCAACCACAAAGACATAAAGGTATTTGAAAACCTTTTGATAGACTGCTTTGTAAAGCTTTTTCCAGTGATCATTTCAGTGAAAAAAAATTTTCAATCTTCATCAACCATTGACGTTGCTGACCTTGAAATATTAAAGCAAACATCAAATGATTCAGAAGTTTGGAGCAATTTGACTTTTTCCAATATTTTGACTGTAGTAATTTCATTTGTTGATAAAAATAAGAAAAATTTTTTACCGAAAATAATCAGCAAAATAACGCTTTACAAAATCGAATATACCCATCTAAAAAAAAGTGATAAGAAAAGACTAAAAATCATTTAAAAATCAATTATAATGGCATTATTATAATCTGATTTTAAGCAGATTTTTCAGCCTTAAAAGACAAATTTCGTTTGGCTTTATCTTTTTTTAATGTATTTTAATCGATCATTAAGATTAAATCAATTATAATTGATTATGAAGAATTGATTTTAATTGATTAAAGTTTTTAACCGATTAAAATAGATTAAAAATGATTAAATCAAATGAAATCTGTCTTTCAAGGCCGAAAGATCTGATTAAAATCAGATTATAATAGTGCCATTATAATCGATTTTTAATCTGATTTTTAATTTTTTTACATGGGTATCAAATGAAAGTATCCGAAAAAAAAGGCCAACTTTTGGATTGTAGTAGAGAGTGTTAGATTTTAAGTGTATCAATAAATTAATGATACCTGAATAAAAACTTATAACTTTCTCTATCATCAAGAAAAAAATTAGCTCATATCGTCGAAATGCGATGGAGACATTTCATTATCTTTTTTTTTGAAACACTCAATACTTTTTGTCTTTTGATTTATATTCGTTCATATCAGTATCATCGATTGATATCTATGTGTCATAGGCATTATAAAAAATCTTGTTTTTTTTATGTTCAAATTTTGGGAATTGGTTTTTAGAATTATAAAAATTTAATCCATTTAAGGATGAATTTTCTGAAAAAAATCCTTTTTTTTTTATCGACTGCAACAATTTTTGAAATTTGATTTTTTTCTTGTAAAAAAATTCCGAAATTTTTTATTACTCAGAAATCTGAACATTAATGGAGAAGACACAATCATGTCATTCAACTTGTTGATTTCTGATCAAATTAAATACAAATACTTACGTGCTGACTCATTATCAATATCAGCTCGGGTATTTTGAAAGTAAAATTGAACTTTTTCAGCAGCAAGATAATGAATAATAATGAGACATTGAAGAATATTTGGTATTGAGGTAAATACCGATCTTGATACATGCATATTAGGTGCCACAGTTGGAACGACATGGATTGCCATACGAGCAATAACACCATCACTTCCAGTACCTGATTCAAACTTATGCATGTTGCTGGCATATTTTTCTCCTGTACTGGCACCCAGGATTGCTAATTTTGCTGAATGAATAGTATGAGTATGGGGACCAGTACCACGTGTCTCTTCTTCGATTAAATCAAACCCTTGGCACATAATTTTGCCGCCAGCAGCTGCTGCTCGTTCACCAGCCGAATATACGGATAACTTGGTCAGCAATGTGTCAATCTCATCACATATTGCAAAAATATCTCCCACTTTGGCCATCTTTTTCGACAATGATAATTCAGTTTCAGATTGTATCACCATTGAAGTACGTCGGCGGCCTCTGGAAGATTTTGAATAGACACCAGGAAATAACTTGTCCAACTGTGTCATAGCATGTCGAATTACTCTAATAATTATAGATTTTTGAGTTCCTGAAAATTACAAATATATTTATTCTTTTATTTAATTAAAATATAGACCTTATTTAGGTCATTTCACGTTCTCGTAAAGTAAAAGACTTCTCTAATTTCTCCAATGACATCCATGGAGTAAAAAAATTAAAAAAAAATGGCATGACTTTCGTGAATTTTACGTGAAAAACACGAAAAAAGGCATTTTCGATAATGGAACGGATAAAAAAATTGTCTTTTTTCAAATTCATTGATGAAAAGCGATATATTCATCAAGCAAATGTAGTGAATTTGATTTTTAATGAAATTCATGCAATGAAATCCATGAAAATGTTTATCTTGATCAATGAATTTGAAATATATCAATGTTTTTGTCCGTTTCATCATTTTGATGCCAATTTTTAAAATTTTTTTATTCCATGGGCAGCTGAGATTCTTTTCGCAAAAGATATTTCATTGTTGACGACACAACTAGCAATATTCCAATTCATGAGATTTTATAAGACTTTGTAAGATTTCAGAAGACTTCATGAGATTTTAAAAATGAAGTCTCTGCTGTTTTCCCATCGATACTCGCAATAAATCGAAAAAACACAAAAGACTTTCTATATATCATATTACATGTCAAAATATGTTCATTTTCTCTTTTATCATCAAGTTTCAATGACACGTTCTCGTCATTAGATTTGAAAAACATCTTTCTATTCGTTTATTTGTTAATATCGTCTTGTAATCAAATAAATGAATTTTCTATTTCAAATTTATTTATTTCAAAACTCGGTACTTTTGATAGCAATTGATTGTCACTGCTACTATAAAATACAAAAAACTTGCATTTTTCATCGAGTCGATCAGTTTCACGACCGATATTTATCATAGCATACATTATATTTTCCTTACAAACCGAATGAAAACGAAAATTATTTGCCTTCAGTACTTCAATAAAAGGATAATCATACATATTTTTCATAAATAAAGGTCGATAAGCTCTATCTATCGACAAAACTAGTATTTCTTGTACGGTATCTTAAACATTTGAATTGGAGCAAGAATAAATTTTGACATATAATCATGACAAAAAGACTCATTCGTATCTGCCACCGATATTCAAAAAACATTCAATGTGTAACTATTTTATATATTTAATAGACAACATTAATTTGAACATTTTCTGAATTTTCTAGCTCAATCCAACGACTAACTAAATCACAGCCCTTCTATTTTTTTACAAAATCAATTTGTTTTGATAGTTTTAATATTTTTATATATAGTCAAATGAAAATTAGTTAATGCAGTAAAAGACGA